GTGGCATAATGCACAGTCTGATACTCTCAAACACATTTTAAATGTGTCACAGTATATTGTGTAATGTACCCCAACCTGTACAAGCTAATGCTTGTATACAGCTTGTGCAAACACCCAGGTGATGTCTGCTAAAGACAACAAAGCAGAGTATCTGAAGAGCAGTGGGTAGGAGAACACATGAACAGGGAAGGTGGCTTGAAGAGCTGTCTCTTGCCTAAGACTTACTGCACTAGTTCATCCTGGATTTTCTTCACCATTACTTGAATTCTATGTTTATGCTTTAACAATCTCCTCCTCGAAATAAGCTGCAGCACTATTAGAGTGCACAAGCAAATAAAAACAGGTTAACCTTTTACACTACTACTACCAGGATAAAATACCTAACTGGCCGACACAAAGCAAAGAGAGAGCCACAGCAGGGAAGTCAACACAAACCACACAGGGGATTCTATCTTACAGCTTAGGCAGTCACTTAGGGACTAAGTGCACATCCTACACACTGGTGTTTGACTGGCAGCCAGATCTGAACATTTAGACACCAGTTTCCTGTGGCTTGATTAAACTCTTTTTTTTTTTTTTCAAATTTCAAGTATTTCACCTTTTTTCCATGTGAGTTTGACTTACAAGGCAAAGTGAGAGACGATACCTCCTTGCTGAAAATTCCAATTACTTTGGTCATGAAGATACACAGCACAGAGACTTTATTTATCAATTTTACATTTAAAAATCTGTTTTTCCTTTAGGCAGGATACCAAATGTAATGATTCTTTCCCAAAATAAATTGATCTGTTACCTGTGGTAAACCAGGAATTTTGTTCTAACTACTGTAATGTCAAGTATTGAAATCACCTCCCAAATCATGCTGAGGCCCTTTTGGTGAGCCCACAGAGCAGAGTTCGATGCAGGAGGTGTCACTACATGTTGATTATAAATACTGCTATACTAGATACTACACTTTCCCTTTTTTGGCTGGAAGAGTCAAGTTGCAAAAGGAACTGTGAAGGGAGTTGTGGTTTTACAGGCACATATGTGTGCTCCTTGGCTTAAGGAAGAAATTCTGCCTGCAGCACATCTTGACAGCAGACATTTCCTGATATTTAACTATGTAGTCAGTATTTATCCCTGGTTAAAGCATGCACTTTCACTAACACTGGATATAAAATCACAACAGTCTCTCACATATTCCTGTAACTAACCCTGACCAGCTCATTTTGTACCATCTCCCACTTGAGTACAACACCACAAGGACACTGAAAACTGAGTCCTGTTTGTGAGTTTTGTTCCAAAGTACAAAAGGAACAGCCTTAAAGGCAAGGTCAGACATCATGAGGATAAGCAAAACATAAGAATGGAACAGAAATCACATACCCTTGCAGATCTCATCACTGATCCAGTTTCCCCGTGTTTCTTACCTGTTTTGCATGAATTCTGCCACCAGCTGCAAGATGAGGGTTGTGCAGGCTGGTTCATGGTCCCACAGCTCTTTGTAGGACAGAAATGTACGTGGGGATCTTCACCAGATCAAGTCAAAGAGCACCGTGACAAACTCACAGCTCCCAAACCACTTCCCCTCCCATGGCACCACCCCAGGGGGTCAGGCCAGACACACCCTAACAGCTCCTTCCAACACAGGCACTGCCAGAACCTGCACAGTTAGGCAACTTTCAGTTTAGAACACTAAATCCTTTGGAAACATTAAGGGTTAAGTGGGAAAGAGTTAATACAGCAGGAAAAGGAAAGAAGTTTGTAAGAAGCTAACCTATACATATATATATATTTATATATACATATAAAATTAGCTCAGATTTTAATGAATGGCCTAAGTCACAAATGGCAATTTAATTAAAAACATATTTGCAAATCCTGGGCCCCAAATTTCAGTGCCACCTGATATATATTTGGTGCATTTGATTGTATGAAGCTGTTTCCAGAGCATTCAAGAAGAGAATTAGGCCAAACTGTGTAGGGGAGACCAGGAAAGTTAGATTTCTAGGAACTTTTTCAGAAGTGTTGTTTGGTCATCAGCACCCAGAAGAGCTGTTCTTTCAAAGTAGGATTTCAAAAAATGCACTACAGGAAAAAATAAATTCAATGGACTCTACAATGTAATTATAAAGTATTCTGAGTTACTGACAATATCAAAATACTTCATGCATCAATTTGATACAAAGCTGACCCCTAGTTTTCCCAACATGTTGTAAAAGAGTTTATTTGGACAAGAATGCAGACTGGTAAATGGAAATATGGCAGCACGGCCTGGCAAAGAATTAAACAGGTTTTTTATATGGAACCAACAGATTTGCTATTAAAACATGATCTAACTAATCTAGTCAGTGGTTTTGTTTAATAATAAACTAATTTTAAATTTTCAGCTTTGTCTCTTGTTATATAATTCTGTTTTGTTTAAACAGCAGAAATGGTGACTATCCTTAGGAAAATGCTATTGCCCAGTCAGCCAATAAAGGCTGGTCAGTCCTGCTGCCGACTGCTCGAGGCTCTGCAGTGGGAACTGTACAGAGTGGAAGAGGCTGACATGACTTCTAGGCCTTGCTTCTCGCTCCTTTATGGGGTTCTTTATATTGCAAATCAAACAAACTGGAGTTAAACATACCATGGAGAGTTGTCCAGCAATAAACTGAGATTTAAATTCAAATCTCACTTACAGCCTCAAAGGGCACAGATGACCCATGCCACCGCACACCTTTAAAAACTCACTAATGGCAGTTACATTCTTGCTGAGGTGGACTCCCAGCCCAGCTCACTGTCAGCAGAGGATGGTCCATATTCTCCAGATGGAGCAGATGCCACCTAAGGTACAGAACTGAGCTGTGCTACTAATTCTCCTAAGTCATCCCTAATCCTCAACTTTCCAAGTAGCCCCAGGAACACTGCAGGAGATGGTGCAACAGCCCCACGGTGGACTGTCACGGGACAGAAAGCAGTTGCCTTTTCAGATCTCATGGCAAGGAGAGTAACTTGACAGCCAAACCCTCCAAGAAAAAGCAAGTAATATCAAAGGCTGCTCATACACCCAGTATGATTCACTATCTTAATTCAAAAACTTGAAGTATTGAGTCCTATTCATTGACCAGGAAAGACTGGAAACTATAGTCAAATTTTATAAAAGTCAGGGTCAACAGAAAGGCTTCGGCAATTTATTGTTTCTTTTATAAATCAAATGAAGTGGAATAAATTGGTTTCAAGCACAGTATAATTTTTAACCACAAAATTCAAGGAATCTGGCTAAGTCATGAACTTAACCAGAGCAGTCAGTTCAAGCTCAAAGGAATTTGAACTGCAAAAAATAATACTGAGGTTTGAATCCCTGCAAACAGGCAATAACTGCTCTTACAAACAGATTACTGCTTCATGAGAAAATGCATTCTCTTCTTGTGATTAGGAAACTTCAACCTCTACAATGGTCTGGCTCTTTCAAGATTATACCTCTGGGTTTCCCTTTCCCCACCCACGACGTGGGGGAGCCCAGCTCTAGTTCCTTCTCCGTCTGAAGAACCATTTCCGACGTCTTGTGGGACGGGGAAGGGGGACTCCAGAAACAGGGTTTTTCAGGCCCCGAGCCTGGAGGGGAGAGGTGCCCTCCTCTCCCCCAGCACCCACGTGGCTCCATGGCAGGCACAGAGACGGCACACCGGGCGTGGAGAGGAGGCAAGAGAGAGTTTATTGTTGGGGAGGGGTTTATAAGGCTTTTAGGAGGGTCAAAGGGGAACCAATCACAAGTTCAGGGTCACACAAAAGAAACCATCAGGTAAGGGGTCAACATCCAATAGGAAGGGGTTAAACAAAGGACCAATGGGACGCCTCAGGACACCTTTCCCAGGACATTCCTGCATGGGAGATAACAGTTGCTGTGGGGGGTGTTGGGAAGAAGAAACACGTGTTTGCAAAGGGACTACAAAGAGCCATTTTAAGACATGTTTAAACAAGTTTCTCATCAGGTATAGTGCTACATATACCTAATCCTGAACAGCTAAAATACATGACTTAAAAATTTAGTTCTTCAAAACCAGAATAATTTTGAAGAAGCCATCTAATTGTTGCCCATGGTTTTATTTTGTTAAGAAATACGATATGAATTTGGACAAATATGTAACACTGGTAGTTTGGCAAAAAGATTTTATTGCTTATTCTCGTGATCCACACCTAGAGCAGCACAGGATCAGCCAACCCAATACCTAGGTCAACTGGAACTTTTAAATGACCACTAGATGAAACCCCACTTTTCTCTGAGCTCAGTGTCTGTATGTCTATAGACAGATATTTTCTATAGGCAGTTTCATACACTCACCCACAGATATCAGGTGCTATTGAGCTGACTGCAACTCTGAGTAAACCTAATAATTTAATTCTTGCAACCCATTTTCTTATTGCAACCTTTTTCTTTTACAGACAACAGAAATCATTAAATACTAAGAATCAGCTGGGAGGAACACAGGAAAAGATTGCCTATGGGTTACCATCTAACTATAAGAAACACTAAATGAAAGGAACAAAAAGGTGGATATTACCCTGAACTCACAATTGAAATCTCCATGGACACGTGGACCTCTGACTGCAGTCTGGTATTAGTATGGAAAAACTGGATTAAACAATCAACATCTTATCCAGGCAGCCTGGCAGTAAATAGCAGAATAAAATATGTAAGGAGAAGCACCACTGTCAGGGAAAAAGAGGTTTTGACTCTATACCAGTGGGTACTCAGAGTTTTCCAGGCCACACCTGCTCGCTCAGGACTGACCTACAAACTCCAGAGTCCACATGTTCCGCACACAAAAGGCAAATAAACTTTCCCAAGCTGTGGTAATGCAAGCGTCATTGACAGCTTGACATATCAATATTTCAGGAAGAATAAATGACTTTCATATCCAGGGGTTTGGGTTTTTTGTTTTGTTTTCTTTTGTTTGTTTGTGTGATGGGTTTTTTTTTTCATCGTTCATTACCAGATACTTTGGGAAGATGCTACACGTAACACCTGAAGCTGCTTAAAGTATTTGGAAATATTTTAATGAAGTCTTTTGAGATATCACCTAATACAACTTTAAAACAAATTTTACTATTATTATAAATATTTTCTCTTCATCCCTTGCCAGAGGAAAACTATAAATCTTGTCTCAGCTGAATGAACACCATTTATCATATTCATTTTCTTGTCAATACAATTATGAAAAGCCTTTGGCCTTTTTCCAAGGAGCCTGATTTGCTGGAGAAACTCAATTAGTATAAGCAAGGCTGCTACAAACCAGCCCCACTTGGCAATGCAGCACAGCTCCAGCATACCTGACAACACACCTCTAAACCACGAGCCATAACTCAATCATAATGGTAAAATACAAGATACAGCAGTGTCCCCCGTGCCTCCCCTCTCCCTGCCCTGGACCAAAAGGACATCAAAGAAATTATTTCTGCTCATTTTTGCCATCTACTGGACAAAGCTTAAATCCTAAGTGCTGCGATCAGGTGAGAGATTACCCAGTGTAATTTGTTTTGTTATGGACAGGCCTAAAACCCAAAATATTTCCTGCAATCACTTGAAAAGTTTATCAAGACATTCTTCTACCAATGATTTACAAGTGACTATTTCTGACAGTATTCAATACAGAATAAACATCATCTTATATTAAAAGCTTGACTTTTTATCCCTTGCCTCTTAGTATTATTTATTTATTTAACAAATATAACTAAATGGATTTATTTTCGCTAATATTCTGTATTTGCCATTTTCAATATTGAAATACTAGGGCCCCAAACATAATAGAATAAAACATCTTTGTAAAACAGCTTTTCTTTGCTATTAAAACCATTTTCTGATTATATATTTGAAACTAAAAAAGAAATGTGTTAATCAAAGGGTATTTAAACTAGATATGATAGAACTGGCACCTGATCCTCCCTTCCCCTCCCGTTTACCTTTCTGTCTTTATCTACAGTAAATAAGAGTTGTGATTATAGCAGCTCATTCTGCTGTAATGCTTGGGATCAATACCTGGATGCAGCTGGACTCATCCAAATGAGGAGAAATCCACTGATCAGAAACATGCACTTATCCTTTACAGCCAAAAGTGAGGAAGAAAAGATTTTGAATCTGTACAAGGGAAAAGGAACTGAGAAGGCCTGAGCTTTGAATTCCACACAAAGCTACATTTCAATCTATCTTTATTGCAAATATATAATAATGAAATCCAAAAGTTGGAGGCTGTTTTTCTTTATTTGAAGTAAACTTAATTCATAAAATTGAAGGAATAAATAAAAAGAAATCAGGAGAGGGTCCGGAGGATTATATATCCTGCACCCTTCTCTAAAAAGCCACCTCCGTGGATGCATCTATTTTTTTCAAATGGAGAGGAGGTAAGTCTCTGCTGCTCCTCCCACAGCTGGAGATCTGCAGTTCTGCACAGGAAAACAACACTCGTGTTGTACTAGGAAAAACAAAGTAAAACCAATTTGAAATGGAAGCAGCACTGATCTCCTTTTGCACATCTTCCTGTTTTATTAAGTTTTAGGGTAACACAAGCACGAACAGTACTAACAAAGTTAAATGTACCCAGTGGTGCCCACTAGAAAATGAGATGCTAATTCACAGCCTGGCTTCAGGACTTGAGTGGTTTGGTGGTGGGGGGGTTTTTTTCCCTTTAGTCCTCTAAAGCTGAAAATAAGGGATGCTTTCCACGGATTTTAGGAGAAATAAAGATTACACTGCTTTCTGTTTTGGACTTACTTTCTGCAAGCTGAGCCTGCACACAGATAGAATCACCGAAGGCTTGTGAAGGTCTTTAATAGGGCTTTTCTGAATGGTCATCAGGATCCTACTCCCCACCACCCGAGGATGGCTTTGCTGTTCAGCCTTTCAGTCCTGAAAGCGCAATTTCCTAGTTGCAATTGCATTTCTCTTTCTTAATCAGGAAGATTATTAGTGAACAGTAGAGCTTCATAATTGACTTAAAACAAAAAGATTTTTAAAAGCTTGATTTCTTGTAAAGTATGCAATTGCTTGTCATTAATAAATTTTATGCACATAAGTGCTATTTGATTATTCTTAATGGACTAAAACTAAAACTAAAACTAATTGTTCTTGAATGTTATTTTTTCTGTCCATAAAACAAACACATAATTAATTTTTATAGTTTTGTGAGATCTAAATTATAAAACAAAAATTTTCACAATGTGTACTTCAGCAGTTTATTACCAATATGACTGTGTGCCTGACAGAGAACTACAGCCACCGTTTTCTTAAAAATACAAAACATTTCTCTGTAGTGTTAAGAAAATACCCAGGAGTATTGTTATATGTGTCAGCTTAAAAATGTATACAATATTTAAAGCAAACGGAGTTCATTATCATTACCTATTGAAGAAAACTACAATGTAAAGATTTTGGTTTTGTTTTCAGATGTCTGTTTTCTTCTGGATTAAGATGACTGCAAGTGTTGTGATATTAATAGAGCTGACATAAATAGAAAGTAACTGACTAAATTAAAGACATGATTCATACCAGAGAAAGAAATCTCCCCAGATAGCACTTGTATAGTATTTTTTAAGCACTTCTGATGTTAAACCAAATGTAGGTACATTGTGTTTGGAATTAAAGACATGGCTTTTTTTTTCTTTTTATGAAAACATTAGGGAATTATGAAGGAAAGAAACCTCCTTGGATACATTTGCTAGATTAGCAGTGTAACACAACAGAAAAGTGACCTCTGCGTGGTCCTTCCCAGTTAACTGCACGGTGTCCGTTGTGCTGTAATTTTAGCTGATTACACATTAGTTCATTTAGCTTTGTTTCCTCTTCCCCACTGTGCCACACTATTAAACTAATGCGAGGGGCCTGGCATCCCTGCGTGCACAGAGCGGGCATTGTGCGGGCACAAAGGACACGTCCCGGGAGCAGGGGAGGAGCTGCTCTTTGTGCTCAGCCAGGGCGAGCCCGCGGGCCCGCCAGCATACGCTGCCAGTGGGGAGAGACACGGTAATTGATTTTCACGTTAGCACGCAGCAGATGGGGTAATAATCAGCCAATGATGACCACAGAGCTGATTTTGATTCATTAGTTTAAATGTCTCGCTCAAACCTTTTTTTTTTTTCTTAGAAAAAAACCACAAAGATCCTTGGACAAACGATTTATACAAGTTTTCCAGTGCTAACACTGGCAAAATGCTTAGGAAATGCTTTGGATTATTGGATATGCTTTCATAATGAATAACGCATATGAAAATATAATATATGAATACAATGTATTAATGTTTAAAAGTGCTTCCTGTATTAATATATTTAAAGTAATAATAACAATAAAATGTTAATTTAAGCTTGTAATATTTTGAATGAGGTGTAAGACTAACTGATACTCAAAACAAGCTACAATTAAGGCTGCACTAGGACTCCCATTGTACTGTTATTTTAACTTACCTTTTGTTGTTCTGTTCGGTTTTTTTAAAGTAATTTTCCAAGTTAGGTTTCTTCAAAAAACCACTTTGTTTAGAGAAGACTATGCAAATCTATCTGTGTTAACATTAGTTCTGAGAAGCATTTTTTTCCCTTTTAATGACTGAAGTGTGGCTTCAGAGTCCTTCCAGCTCAAATGCAGTCAACACTGTATGCATAGACAATTAGCCCCTACTAACAGGACGTTTTCAGGATGATTAATAGACATCAATAAGAAACACTAGTGAATGAAAAATATTTTAACAACATAAACAAACTTTTCAATTTACTCAGACCTAAATATTCTTTTTGACAACTCATCAGTTTTAATGAATTTTATCCATGTGTTGCAGGTGGGGTTTGTACTTCTTTTCACAATAAAAGGACACAGTTCTGCAGTCTGGAAAAAAATAATCATAGAACCATGGCAAAAAAACCAGTAAGGAGTTCTCTCTTTAAACCCAGAGTTTTCAATAATGTACTCCCATGTGGTGCTAACACTGTAATATTTATAGTGTTGAGAAATACAGAAGGTAAGATTCACATATTCAGTCCAGCTGAATTGGGTGGCACACATATAGATTTATCCCAGGACAAACTGAGTTCTCTAGCAAACACTAGTGAGATAGCTGGGAGTATTTTAATATTTGCATTTCGTTTCTGTTGTGCATTGAAATGGCCTGAACTTGCAAAGATGCTCAGAGGTCTCAACTCTCATTAACTTTAATGGGACTCTGAAATCACTAGAGAGGAAGTGTTCAATACTGAGAAGATGCAATATAAAATTGTAACTTCATACTCATCTGTATTTTCATACTTGGTGGGTGTGCTGCTTTGTCCACACAGAAAATAACTTTAGCAGACAAGGTGGCCAAAACATAAAGAATTAAAAGAACTCAGAAGCAACACTTGATACTTCTCTCTCATGGCAGAGATGCAGCAACAGATACAAGGGAGTGGAAATATTCCAGACTGATTTTGGTTCCTTTGCTCACTCCAGCCACAAAAAAGGAGATAAGCAAGGTTGGACAGAGGAGGTCTGGAGCTGGGAGAAGGGGAGCTACGGCCCCTGGCAAGACATGAACTTGCCTTTGCTTGAGCATGTGCTCAGGGAGAAAGAGCTCCCCATCCTAGTGTGGCTTAGAATGTGGATTAGAAAAGGACAACCACCCTAATCCATATTCCTCCAACACGCTTATTCTATCTTCATAAAAAAAACTAGTTGCAAGAAAACACTCTTTTGCAAATAAGAGTGAAAAAGAAACAGTTTGGTTGTGAGACTTTAAAAACTAATAATAAAAGTAGATGTGCAACTTTCTTTAAACCAGATTTCTGAGAAGCTACAAAAACACCAGGCAACTTCAGACACCATTGGACCTCAAACTCTAAAGAAAGGAGACCAGCTACTATATCAACTACATTTCTTGGTTTTTCTACTACTTAAATTCAGACGGTGTTATTAAAAAGCCCGTACCATTCTTAACCCACACTATTCTTAATAAATTACCTCAATTTACAAGGCACCATAATATTCTTGTCCTGTAAAACCCCAGCAAACCAGTGGTTTAGATGGGATCCATCAGACCTCAACTGTGTAAAATAACACTGCCACAGTCGGTGCCAGACAAATAGCCTACTGAATAGCCTCTAGAATCCTGAATAAGTCCTGATCCATTTAAGTCACTGGTAAAAATATCCTTAAACTCTAATAGAAGCAAAAATCACCCTAGATTCCATGCTTGCTTAGGTCACAGTTAGCAAGAACCTTCCCCCTAAAACCCTAAGACAATCTAGTTTTAGTCCATTAAGAATAATCAAATAGCACTTACGTGCATAAAATTTATTAATGACAAACAACATTATACACTTATACATCTACTTTTTGTGTGTCATCCTGTGGCATCTGGAGTGCCTTGCAGACTCACCAGCAAAGTGAAGAATACAAGAAGCTACTGTGTCCTTCCCAGCTGCCCCCCAGCCCTTCCTGGGGCAACGGGACAGGGAATGGCACAACCAGCAACAGCCAAATGAGTGAGATGAGAAGTGAAGAACAGTAAATACAAGAAAAACAGCAAGAGAAGCTTGTCAGGAGCATGGGGGTTTATACACTGCTTTTCTTGATAATGAAGGAATTTTGTTCAGATTTAATTTTTGAAATATCCTTCCCTGAATGTCAGTGATAGGTTTACTTAAGATTTAATTACAACAAAGCCCTTTTAAAAATAAATTCAAGTATTTTGTTTCAAAGTCCAGAATAACATTTTTCAATGGATTTTTTCAAAGGAAAGGAGCTGAAGATTTAAGTATCTACAGAAAATCCCCTATAATTTGCCAACATGTGCCAAGCATCTGACTAACACAATCTAAAACAGAGGAGCCTCCTCACGCCCCCCACCCCCAAAATGGGGCTCGTAATGGAAAGTCTGACAGACCCTTAACCATAGTGGCACTACTGGGTGCAGCTATAATATTACCCTCATAATTCTACTATATAATAACAACAAAGGAAAAAAAAGGTGAAGGGTCATTGTGCTTTGTCTTTAGAATTAAGATGGCTGTCTTCATCCTTACAGCATACTCTTAATTCTGGAGACACATCTTAATAACCTCTAAATAGTTCCAACAAAAGAGCCGTGTCAGAGGAATGAGCAGGCCCCAAGGTGTTTCAACTGGAGTGTTTTCATCTGCCTTTATTGCTCTATCCCTCTCCAGAATTAAGGCAATAACCTGTGATAAATTATTCAGGAACTGCTACAGGGATCAAAGCAAAATCATTCTGTTAAAGTGCTGTTTGCAACATTTGGCACTTAGTGTGAAAACTTTTAATGTGTGCAAGCTGAAAATCAAGGATTTTAAATAATTTAACAGCATGGAGTTTCTACAAACCAGCTAAAGATAGCAAGTTGCTATTTAACTGCTTTTTCTTCAGATCCTTTTCCCAGGCATTTCTAGCAAATGTGATGATGTCACAACTATAAACAAAGTACTACTGAGATTCCAGCTGCCCAGGCAATAGATTGCTTAACCACATTGTCAAGAGAAACCTGGATATTCTTAGGAGAAAATTAGGCATTGTTTTACTACTGGAAATTCTTTCTATTAATACAAAAATGAGAAGAAGGAAGTAGTAAAAAAAAAAAAGGAATAAGAAAAGAGGAAAGCAACACACATACACACATAATTACTTCAGCCATCCTCAATCACATTTGATCTCTCTGGAAAAGAAACCTAAACATATGCTTTGTATGCAGATGTAATGATTACAGATATATTTTAAAAAGAAAGAGTTCCCTTGTTACAGTTGTTTTTCAGTGGTGTATTTCAGAAATATTAAAAAGCTAAAAAATCACCTACCCAGTTAGAAAGTCCTAGTAAAACCCACAAATTAAACGAGTTTGGCAGTCCTGGACCATTTTCATAGTGATATTTTAACAGTGTCATCTCCCCATGGATTGTAATACTAAGCATTTTATTGAAGAACTGAACTGTTTTTGTTTTTCAGTACGTGGAAAATGAAGTACCTGAAAGCACTTTTGCATGTATTATTTATTCATTATGATAGAAAAATAGCTTTAACCTAATAAATTGTGTTTAAGGTAATTTAGAGCAAAAGTTTTGTTTATGATAAAGCAACAGATTTAGTTCTTTATCAGTAGCTTAAAGCACCAAGTTTTCTTTATACAAATTAGACAGATGGTGCTTACAGTAGAATTTACTAAAGGTCTGTCACAACAAATGCAGCCAAGCTGCATATTTAATCACTGCAGAACCTTGTCTACCTGCAGCTGCCAACTGCTAATCCAATTTCCCTGATAAATGTGGCAAGAGACACGATCAGCAATAAAGAGCATCTAACTCCATTTTCCTGCAGGGCGTCTTTTGATGAACATTTAGGACGGAAGCAGGAGTGCACTGTGTGGCCCTGGCTGGTGGCAGCTGCATGCATTTTGAAGACACAGTTCTCAGGTTACTCACTTAATTCTGCCACTATCATTATGTTGCTATTGATCTCAGTAGCTCTTGTCTACACAGCATTACTCTAGATGAAGCTGAATCAGGCAGTTATCATGCATCAAACTTGCTCAAAAGCCTGGAGATTTCCCCTTAATTACTTGTGATTTTATTTGCAAATACCGTTAAAGTGTAATCAAGCAGTCACTTTCCAGGGTCGTTAAGAACTTGCTAGTTTAGGAATATATCACTGGCACTCCATTAAAATTTCTCTACTAAGAAAGTTTCAAGCAATCCAGACAGGGCAATGGTAAAATTATTTTAATAAATTGAATCCTCACACAGAGAGGAATCCAGTTTCCTCCAGAAAGGGTAATGCTACCAAATGACCTCTTTGTTCTAATTTTTAGGATTTATAACTTGAACACATGAGAGATGGATTGAAGATAGACGAACTGAGTCTATTTTATAAATAAAAAGTGATTACTATTGAACACATAAAGCAACAACAAAGAAGGAAACCAAAAGTAAATAATTATTGAAATAACCCTTAGTACTATTTTAAGAAAAATATTAGCTTAATTCAAGTGATGACTGTGAAATGTGCATCTTTGAGTAATGTCAGTGATGTACCGCAGCCAAATGATTTGCCAAATACTTTGAGCATATCTGTTTATTTTCTTGTGAAAAAAATGGATAAATTTGATGATGCAGTATTTAAGCTGCCATTATATTTTAAAACAGCAAATTAAAAATTATTGTTAGGGTTTCCTCAAGACGACCCCGTGCAGCTGAAGTGAGCACTCCAGTGAGCACTGTTAACTACTGATTCAGTGGTGGCAGAAGGGGATCTCTTTAATGCAATAGTGCTCTAATACATTATCATTCCTGATGATGCAGCTTCTATCTAGTAAGTCTTTTTCTTCCCTAAAATATACTGTTGTTTTGACACAAACAGCTTGCTACACTTAAGGATTTTACTAATAAAACATAATGTTGTGTTAGATGTTATGACTGTTGCCACAGCTGAACTGCCTTGTCAAATCAATCCTAATATGGCTCCCACAGGCACATAAAAACCTTATTTAGCTATCAGTTATCCTAATCACTTTGTTCAGTTTAAGGGTGCCATACTTCAAGGCCCGTTCCTATTTATACATATATGCCCAGCCATTTAATAAAGTCTTGATTTATATAATAAATTCTTGTTTGAAAAAAAAAATACTTTAAAGCAGTAGTGTTTTATCAATTGTGTTACATGTCTTCTCATACCCCCAAATAAATATGTTAATATACACAAACAGGATACTTGCGTGGCAAAGGGGAATATTAGATATGGAACAGATAAGCTATCACTGAAGAAAAATTTGTCCCTTTGTTAATAAATGAGCTTCAAATGGGGTCATTTGATCTGCAAAGCACTGGAAAATCTCAAGGTCCTTATAAAATCTTTGTACAAAGTTTATTTAGAATAGTATTCATAGCCCTTGTATCTCTACTGTCTACCTTCCTAATTAGATACATGTACACAGGTATATATGTATATAAGTCCATATGTATATAAGTATACAGGTATGTACAGTCAAGGGAGACTAACAGAAAAGCTGCCAGACTTGTTGCTGAATCCTTGCCTCACTATTATTTTTTCCCATCAATAATTTCTTCCCCTATACTTGAAAAAACCCTACCTTTTGCTTTTTTTTGTTCAACACTACTGTTGAGTATCTGAGTCACACTTTCAAATGAAACTTAGAGGGGGAGCATGAAGTTCTCAAACTCATACCCATCTTCACCTACAGGAAAAGAAACCAAAAGAAACCAGCAAAAGCATCACACACATCATCTTCACACTTCTTCAGAAGGGTCAGGCTCCGAGGCTTCCACAGAGAAATCTCACTGACATCCCAGGAACTTCAGGTGACCTGCAGGAACAAAAACCTGAGGTATAATGTATTTTTACTGAGCTATAAACAAAGAACACAAATTGTTGATTCCAAACAACTTGTGTCTGAGACTTGCTTGTCTCTGCATTTCACACCTTTCTCCTTTCCATATTTCTGTTTCCTCTGTTAACCTGACAACATTTATTCACTGCCCTACAAGAACATTCACGTAGGAAAGTCAAGACTCAACAGTTAGAAAATGGTAAATTTAAAACTACAATAATAAATTAGGCTTTTCCACATGTGTAGTTTGAGTATGATATTTAAATCACAATCTTTTATGCTCATATGCTGTTTTTCCTGCCTCTTACCTATCTGGTGTACACAATGAAGCTGCCCTGGAAATGAATCCAGACTGTGCTGGGGTCATTCATATGACACTTGCCTCATTTGGTCAGAAGGTGTGAATTTAGGATAAAAGAAAAAAGAGTGAGTAGGGCAAAAGAGATCGTGTTTGTTAGACAGCTGAAAGATATCCTAGAAGTCTGGATTGATTGTGCTTTGTCATGAAACTGAATCAGTAACCATGAACAACGACTCTTTAGAAATGGCAATTTGCATGAGGATCCGTCCTCACACTACTTATCTTTAGGCCCTAATGAGGGCAGCCTGCCTCTCACAGGCTGATTCCCCGTGAGACTAATTCAGAGTAGGAATTTAATTTATGTTCTTTAAAGAGCTCTTCGCTATAGGGCTTCTTTCCCTCCTCTCTTCATTGGCAAAGTCTGGGAAACTAAGTTGCAAGTGAGGTTAGGAGGAAGCTTTTGTGTGTTAAACTGGTTGTGCAAAGTTGGTGTAAGCTTTACAGTTTGATTTCCACACTTAGAACAGATCTAATTCCAGCCCCTTATTTTTAGGAATGCTGCTCAGACCAAACCAGTCACCCAGTCACCAGTCACCAGTCACCAGTGGGAAGTAAGAATGACAGAAAAAGCCAAGAAGAAAAAATGCCAAGAAGAACAAACAGTCACGACAGAAAGCAAAGGGGACTGACAAAGCCAGGCAATAACACAGAAAAAAAAAAATCAAAATACTCAGTGGCTTTTCATGAAGCTGGAATGACACATCTTCTGAATTGAAAGAGTCAAACATCCTCTGAGAGATATAATTGTGATCCTGCAATTAATACTGCCTCGTAACAATGTCAATATTTACAATGGAGAGGACAGTTGCAGTGACAGTCCCAACTCTGGCATTTCCTCAGTCCTGAATACCTGGCTCTGTGACCTGAACTGCTCCCCTCTAATAAAGGGCTTTCCAGATTTTTTTAAAAGCAAAGGAAATACATTCAGTAACTTCCTGCTGCTGCACTGTCAGCTCAGCCACGGAGCCTTCAAAGCGCCATCTATGCCCAAGAGCTTTCTTAAACTAATGAAGGATCTGCCCAAATCTGTGACCTGCACCTGCAGCAAACCCAAGAGGGTGAGGGGCTTTGTGCTGAATTTCAAAGCTACTGTGGAGCAGCAAAGGGTCTGGTGGACTTGGGAAATCCATTCCTTTCCATCTTTGCCTGTTTCCTCTGCTCCTTTCAACTGGAGTCAGTATTTTTATTTGGCATTCTGGATCCTTGTGTCTTCTTCCAATCCAGCTTTTTGTTTCCATCTCCTCCCTTTGCCAATCCAGCTCCTCAGGCAGTTCCAATATACCATTAGTTTCTGTGCTCCCCATCTCTGCTCAACCAGCATCAGCTTCCTCTTACACTCCTGTTTCTATGTGCATTGCATTTCCTGATGCTTTTCTCCCTTTAATTGCTTACCAGATTTTCCTCAGAAAAAAAAAATAAATAAGGCCCAATCATTTAGAAAGAGTCCCATGGTGGTGTTGTCCTGTGCCAGAGTACAGACTAACAGGAGCCATCTGGATCCTGCCCTGTGCAGGACCAGGGCTCAGATGCCATTTACAGAGTTCTCAGGAGAAACATGAACTGTCCCAGGACAGGAAAAGTCACACTCCACCTCTTCTAGAGTGCTGCATACCTTTGGAAGAAGGTGTCCACATCCAAATTCAAGATGATTCCTTCCCAAGGCAGAATCTCAACCATACTTTATCAAACAGCTGAGAAAACCAAAGAACTACCAGCATGTCCAATGCTGATTGTGACCAACACTTTAATGCCAAACCAGCTAGTTTTGGGAATTGGGTAAGGGAAAGTTTAATGTGCTAGGTCTGTTTTAAATTTCAGTGTAGGCAGGGGAGAAAGAATATACAATTAGGATCCTCTATAGTATTGTCCTATTAATAAAATAATGTGGAAGTTTTAGAAAACTAACACAAATTACTGCCTATACATTTCTTTTTCACTCCTGAACAAGCCACATCACAGCACCTGAACAGCACAGTATTAGTAAGGAAAGGAAGAAACTATCCTAAACAAACCTCCCATGGTAAATTGTTGTAAGCTTGTAAGCTCCTGGAGGTATTTCCTACAGTTTACATCCACTTCTTTTGGTAGTGCAGAGAAAAAAGTGACTAAAATTTATTAATTATTTAAACATAAATTTACCAATGTTGTTCTATTAGGTTTTTTTTCTGTACACTTCACACAAAACATCTTGGACTAAGGATCTTGGACAAAATTATGCAATTCTAAATGCCACAAAAATATTAAAAACACAACCTGGGACACACAAGGAATTCAAATTCTTATTCTTATTCATATGAGGTTTAAGTAACTCAACACAAATCAAAGTGCATTTTGAAGCAAATATCAATATCATAGAATCATACGATCACGACCAGACCAAGTTGCTCCAAGGCCCACCCAAAATGGCCATGGACACTTCCATGGATGTGGCATCCAGATATTACCATTCTTTCCCACTAAAATTAAATTTTGCCAGTCACACTGACAGCACCTAACTTAAAATGGAAATATTCTCAATTTACTGTATTCGACTAATCTCCAAAAATGCTTCTGCATAATTACTTAAAACAACCCCCAACAATAAAAATTAATCTTAGTTTTGTTTCCATGTAAATTATTTATCACTCATATAAAAGGATTTTATATAAATCTCTTCATTTAATTTGAAAAAAAAAACAACAACCCACATACAAAGCCCAGAGAAGACAATTAGTACGATGCTTTTTTGTCTAAAAATGCCAGTTTTCATGATTTGAAAGTACCTTTTGAATCACAAGGTAAGAACACTGTGATTTAATGCTTGCACAAGCACACAGAAAGGACAGTTTGTGTACACCTTATTTTTAAAATTTGGATTCTAAACCACAACTTCTACCTGTTTGTATCTCTAGCTGTGCTTTTCTGTCAGTTTAAACCCAAACACATTTACTCCAGTAGGAACTCGAAGGACAACAGCCACAGGACTGATGTATGCTTTTTCCAGATCTTGGGGAGCTGTTAATCCAGAGGAATCACAATGGCCTTTGTCAGCTTATAGCCAGTCTGCATTTTGTCTGACATCCATTTATCCAGCTTCTACTTTGAGAAGTAATTTTTAATGCCTGTGATGTTGTTTTTACCAAATCTCTTTTTCCCCTGTAGGAAAAATTACTGAACCTTCATGCACAGCCCATTTTATATTATAAATATGCCTATGTTATACAAATCTGAGCCAGTACTGAAAGCAGTTTAGCTGCAAGGAAACCCAGGTCCAGCTCACAGGTGCATTCGTTCGGGAAACACTGACCAATGTGGCTCCATTTTGCCTTGGAATTCCCTGTTTCCAGCAGGGTTCAGCAGTAGATGGGACAGGCACTCATGATCAGCAAGAGCAGGAACAATCACTGCTGGCTTATGAGTGTCTTGACTATCAGCTTCTTTAAGACAGGATTTGTCTGGGTGCTCATTTTGCCAAGCCCAGCCTTCTCTGTTTGGACAACAGAACTCTAACCAGGCAGGCAAAGCTCTGGGGACCAAGGGCAGTACCTGGACTAAGTTCATCACATCGAGCTACTAAAGCATGCACTGTTTTTACACCTGCTAACCTCTCTCATTCGTAAAGGACAACTCAAAAGGTAACCCCAAGTGCAAGTTTAAGTGCTGCTCCCTGTACTGCCAAACTCTGGTCAATGCTTATTAAAACTCTGAAGATCTTTGTGTATTGGGAACTTGCACAAAGAAGTGAAATAAAAAACCTTCTGGCAGAAGCTGGGAGGTTCTGGCCTGGTCAGTATGTCGCCTGGAAATGCAAAACACTCAGGCACTTCATGTTGTAAACTTTTAAGACAATACAAAAAATAAACTCATGATGCTTATTTCTTCAAACAGAAGGCACCAAATACAGTGTTGCTGCTCAATGCCATAAATCTCAGGAGTCAATAGGCAGTGATTTAAATACCAACTGTAACATATTTACTGTACAAATAAACTGCTGTTTGATTGGTTTAATAACCCAAAAAATTCACAGCACTACACAAGGCAGTGAGGTACCTCAGGGACATGGGAGATGACCTTACCTAAGTCCAGGAGAAGCTGAGTGAGCCAGTGTGGAACACTGTCCAGCACCTCGGGTCACTGAGGCTCAAATCCTCACTGACATCCAGGAAAGGGAAGTGCTTCCTCTGTCAAAAAATGAGTGTAGGAAAAGTTAAGTGTTCTACAAAATTTACTACACACACTTTTTAACATAGTAAGAAAACTTACTGTGTGATTCTGAAGCATAGATTTCACTGTCTATTTTCACAAGCTTTTTCAGGAGACTGTACGTAGCAGGTGTTAAGGAAAAGCAGCCTTGCAGCATTATAATTACACAGGCAGGCTGGGAAAACTTTCAGGAACTTTTAGTGAGAAAAAAATCCTGAAACAGTACATTAAAATAATATTTGAAGTTCATCTACAAATACATGTAATACAGATATTCTTTAGAACATTTTAGACTATAATCTGTTATTAATGAAAGCAATTACTTTTCACAGCATATGTTCTAATCACAGAAGAGACAAATGAACTAAATGACTTTTACAAAGACACAGAAAGTTTTGGATAATAAATGGTGTTTGTTCCTCAGACAGATCCATGTCATCAGCACATAAAAAAAGTGGTTTTGCAGGTGCCTGCGTTGGAGCTGATTGGTACTTGGCAATGGCACTGCTGCAGCCCTGAGGTAACAGCCTCAAAGTCACACGTGTGATCCTCTAGACCCATCGAAAACCACAATTTGTTTCAGTTACAACAGATAAAAATACATCTCATGCATACTAAGCTATGCTAAACACTTAACCAAAGTTAAGGTAGAGCAGTGGATGTTGTCTTCCTCAAGTCAGCAAGGCTTTTGACACTGCCTCCCATAACATCTTCACAGGTAAGCTCAGGAAATGTGGGTTGGATGAATGGACAGTGGGGTGGATCAAGAACTGGCTGAATGGCAGAACTCAGAGGCTTGGGATCAGCAGAGCAGAATCTGGTTGGAGGCCTGTAGTCAGTGGGGTTCCCCAGGGAGCAATACTGGGCCCAGCCTTATTCAGCTTGTCTATCAAGGACCTGGATGGAGGGATAGAATGGCCTCTCAGCAAGTTTGGTGATGATACAAAACTGGGGGAGTGGCTGATGCACCTGAAGGCTGTGCTGCCTTTCAGTGGGACCTTGATAGGCTGGAGAACTGGGCAGAGAGAAACCTAATGAGGTTCAACAAGGTGTAACAGGGAGATTGTCGAACGGAAACCAGTACACTGTTGAAAGTTCAACAAAACAATATTTATTACAAACAAGTAACCAACAAAACAAGAAAACAAGAGACAGGAAAGAGAAGGGAAACAAGCCCCCAGGGCAACCCCCCACTCACTCAAGTGTTACTTATGAGGTTGTCTTACCGACCCCAGCATGCTTAGAATTCCCCATAGCAGAAGCTGCATCCCCAGTGCATCAGCAGCTCACATGGTAACGGGCGTTCCTGCCAAGGCATCGTTGTCCTCCACGTGAAGCCTGAGTTCGCTCCCAGCAAGAGCTCTCTGCTTTTTATACAATTAACCTGTGATGTCTACCTGGGCAGGTGTGGCCAGCACTGCCCAGCCAGTCCCTCCCCCCCGTGATGTAAGTGGTGCCTCTTCTCGCACGCGTGGGTACTCTGGAATGTCTCTGTGCCCTCATGCTATGCCTCGGGGCCTAAATGAGTCTGGGGGATTACTTCATCCTCCTCCTCTTCCCTTTCTCCTTCAAGTGTCCTTGGAGGGCCGTCAGCCAATAGTGAGGCCCCAATTAACTTCAGTTTATACAAGATGCTTCCTTCAAGGACGATGTTCTCGTTTTTCGGTGCTTGTTTTCACATAACTTGGCAGGAAAAGAACAGACTCTCGCGTGTGGCTGGGCCAAACACAGACTGAAAAGTAACAGCATGAATACACAAGGGCAGGTGCAGGTCCTGCAGCTGGGGAGGAACAACCCCAGGTAGCAGTACAGGTTGGGGACTGACCTACTAGAGAGCGGCTCTGAGAAGAAAGACCTGGGGGTCTTGGTGGATGACAGGTTGATTGTGAGCTGGCAGTGTGCTCTTGTGACCAGGAGGGCTGATGGGATCCTGGGGGTATCAGGAAGAGCATTGGCAGCAGGTCAGGGAGGGGATCCTGCCTCTGTGTTCAGGGGAGGCACATCTGCAGTGCTGCCTCCAGTTCTGGGCTCCTCAGGACAAGAGAGACACGGAGCTCCTGGAGAGCATCCAGAGGAGGCCACAAAGATAATGGAGGGGTCTGGAGCATCTCTATGATGGGGATAGACTGTGGGAGCTGGGCCTGTTAAGTGTGGAGAAAAGAAAACAGAGGGGATCTCATCAATGCATATAAATATCTACAAGGTGGGTGTCAGAGAATGGTGCCAGACTCTTCAGTGGTGCCCAGAGACAGGACGAGGAACAACAGCCATAAACTAAAACACAAGAAGTTTCATCTCAATATGAGGAAGAACTTATTTACATTGAGGGTGGCAGAGCACTGGAACAGGCTGTTCAGGGAGGTCATGGAGTCTTCTCTCTGGAGACATTCCAAAACCACCTGGACATGCTCCTATGACACTTGCTCCAGGTGACCTGGCCTCAGCAGCAGAGTTGGATCTCCAGAGGTCCCTTCCAACCCTAACAATTCTGTGATTCTTTGAAAGTATTTTCAGACATGTAAGACCTGAATGGAAATCTCCTACAAGCATACAGTCTCAGAGCCATAGCAAAGTCCATACCAAGAGGGTACAGCTGAGAATTTTGGATGTATCAATGAGCATTTCCACAGAAACTCCAGTTTCTCAAACTTGATAAAGCAGAAAGCAAATTAACTGACTCCTGCTACGCATGAACTGAAATCTTCCACTGCACAGCTGGCTAACTGGTGACAGCCCAGGTAACTGCAGCCTCACCTGGCCTCAGCCACCACACCACTACCCACGGGCCCTGGGGAGGGGCTGCTGGGTACTTTGCATTGATCAGCCAAGGTACCTGACCCCTGGTCAAAGCTCCTGGCCCTGGTCGAGCAAGATGAGCTCCAGTGTGTCTGCACCTGCCCAGATACCAAGGACCCAGGGAGCTGCACACTGATACTGCAGGAGCAGTGTATCTCCTGGACTGCAGTAATTCTGCAGATCACATCTTCTAGGTACTTATATATGACAAAATAATACTTTTCTTAAGGTTTCTTTTTAAAAGCACAAGAAATCATATTAAATAAAAAGTTGAGTTTGCAAAAACTCTTTTATAGAAGCCCTTAAATCAGATGGTTCAGACCTGTTCCTACAATTCAAATCCTTTCCTAGCTCTGTGAATTACGACATCTCTTAACAGCATGAGTACACACACACATTCCCTGTCTCACATGATTCAAGCATCTGGGGCTGGATACAGGTGATAATCCTGTGTCTTGCAAAAAGAGCCATGCTGGCACCTTTGAGAGTTTCTGCACTGAAGCAGCGACTGCTGCGAGCCACGTTTGCAAAACAGGAGCACGAGAGTGGCCAAAACAATGGCTGGGATTTTCTGACTCCTGCTTCTCCTTCATTTGACATGAAATCACTGTATGACTTACAGAAACTCAGTTAAACTCCACTGTCTCAGTTCTGCATCTCTAAAATGGGGATATAAAAGGTTTTGCAATATCCCAGTACATCAGTGCACTTTCTCAGAAATGCCATAGAAAAACTCAAACTTCAAAACTTCAGAAATATTCCTAAGCATGGAAGGCACCAAATGAAGAAATTACTTACGGGCTTGTATATTCTACAATGAATGCTACAAACACAGGACTCAGTAGTTCACTGAGCAATGTTGCTGGCACTGATGAGCTCATAAGCAACACCCAGGATGTGTTCCTGCAGTCCTGTACACACAGACTTCATAAATACCCACAACACTTACCATTGTTACTGGGGCTTTTTTCTGAGTGCTTGCTTCACTCTGCCATTCCTGCACATCACTGACTAGAGTTCAATAACTTTTATGGGAATAAACATTTTCCCTTTTCATTTTAAGTAGATTAAATTCTTTTTAAACAGGTAAAAATGTAAGAGCAGATTTTATAGCTGCCTTCTATTGGAAAATCTCCTAATCAAGTTTTGAGAGTTGTTTCTCTTGTCAATCCATAACATCCGACATGGCATTACGTGGTTTTATATTGCACAGCTACATAGTTGGCTCCCTGCCCTGTTACAAGGCAGAGCCTTTTGTAACACAAGGCTAACAAAGACAAGGATTAAGAATGTTTGAGAGACTAAAAGTATTTTATCCCAAGTTACTGTACAAAATGATAATGAAACTCTATTTATTTTGCTACAAAAATATACAGAGGAAAAGTTAATTAGTAGAAAGAACTAAACATGTATGAGGGAGCACTGTGGCTTCACAGACATAAAGGAACGACTAACATATTCCATTATGCAAATGAATTCAAAGATATTTCACAACTGATCAGCTAGGAGGGACATAATGATTTATAATTCAAATAACTGAGCTTTGAAATCAGATTGGACTAATACATTTCGAAATATGCAAACCTGGAATAATTGTGAAAGCAATGTAAACCATGACACCAGCCCCAATCATTTGTTGTTGATACCTTCTTATGGTTTTTCTTCTTTTTTTCCTGTTATATATTGCAGTTGCTGAAATTATGTTTTGCTTTTAATTCTATATTATCCTTTAGAAAAAGATGATTATACACTTAAAAAAAGAAAAATACTGGTTTCTAAGACTGTGTAAAAGCTGATTATGTACAGGGAAGTACTGAAATGAAATAAATTATTGTTGTAACCTTTCAGGCTAGCCACAATTTAATCTATTTCAAATACTGAAAATTGATCCACTGGATCTAGCTTCTTAACAATACACTATTTCTTTCAAAGCAACATATATTTAATGCCTTTTAAAAAAATCCTAATATAATGTGAAAAGGCCAAAGTTTGCAATGCCAGGAAGTAGTTATAAACTACTTCATATGTTTGAAATAAAAAGTACTTCAGTATTATTATTAAAAAAAACCCCTATTGGTAGAGTTTTTAATAGGAAAAAAATACATATCTTTAAAAGCCAAAATGACCAGTGAAATTAGGTTGTACATCATTTTCTGGGAAAAAGGAAAAACAGCCTCGACAGGTGTAATTTATCATTTTTCTGATTTAATACCAAAGAAATATATTAAAATAATAAAAAGAATCCTGAAATCCTCAAAATTTGTAGTGATAAATAGCCCTCCCTGTCTTTATTGCATTATGCCTACTAACAGAAATATTGCATGGTGGATTTCGCCAGACAAGAACGATTATTTTCCAATAAAAAGTTGCATATTAAATTCCAGCACAAAAGTGGGTGTCTAATACTTTTGAAATCTTTTATGGTTTGCCAGGGAACACAATTTTAAACTTAACTAATACAAGATCACGGTGAAGTGAAGCAGCATTAAAGCTGCCTTGGCACAACCCCACCCCTCTATGCAGCAAAGTCACCGTTCTCAGAGCTCCTGTTTGAATCACTGTCATTGAAAGTAATTGAATACATTTGGGGTATTTATGTTTTTAGCTAATCTCTCTTTTTGCTAGTCTTTCAACACTTCAAATTGCTGTTAAAGATGTGCATTTATGAGGGCAGCGCTGCTTTACATCCTGAGCATGTAGAAGGGTCTAAAACCACTCTGTCAGTAGTTAGCCAGTTTCTGCAAAGAAAAACCCCACAATGCTACTCTTCAAGAGAACTCAGGTTATTAAATATCTACTTTTTCATCCTTTCTAGGTCCTGATATTATTACATCTATTTCATGAGCAGAAACTCATTTACTGCAAATATAATTTAAGTAATCGGAACACTGAAACTATCCAGACATTTCAGCCTTGGAAAGTATTATTTGCACCAATAGTTTATCCTGACCCTACTTCTGGAGAGCTCCCACAGGAATACATGCCTCTGCAAGCCTCCAGAAGACAACATGAAATGCTGAATGCTTGCTGGCTTTAGGAGCACCACAAGGCTGATCCTGTCAGCAAACACACGGAAACAACCAAGCCCTCCCAGTTTAGGTGCACTCATGGGGATTCTGAAAGTGTTTTGAACCCTAGCGAAGCAATAAGTTTCTGGTAGAAAGCAGGAGAGAGCGCCAGGAGGACGGCCAGAAAGCGGGGGAAGGAAGAAGGGCGCCCCGTCGGGGGGGGGTCAAAGGCGGGAAGGTGGGGCAGGGCAGCGCCGGCCCAGGGCCGCAGGGCGGGAGGCCAGAGAACAGAAACACGGCGAGTTAAACATCGAGGGAGCGGCGGAAGGGGAGGGGAAGTAAAACGACACAAGGACACCTTGAGGGGGGGTTGGGCAGTAAAGAAAAGGCACGGGCGGAAAGGGGAAACCCACACGCAGCGGGCGGCCAAGGAAATATAGTATTCTTACGTGAGGAGAGTGGTATGGATAAACAAAATGATACCACTTGTCATATTCCAGGTGTGTTCCCCTGTGCTTGTGTAACAACCTCCTCTAGAAAATTACTGAAAAGTCAGTTTTATTTTAAAACAGTTAAGGATTTCAGTGTTGAATGAGTTCACGCACCCTGGTGGTTTATTATCTGTCATATACCTTTAAATATTGTGTCACATCGAACACCACTGCTAGACTGGGTTTTTTTCAATCTTCTTGCTCGATTGACTGAAAATTCAAAGAGCAAACATTCTTCTCCAACTCATGGTAAGTGAATATTAATTAGAATAAGACACAAAAGGTTTGCAACAGATAGCAAGTTAGCATCCATGACTGGGTAAGAATATTACAAAAATACTGGAACCCAGACAAAAATCCACATGCAAAGGTCAGGCTGGTTTATCAGCAGTAATGATAACAGTAATGATAACACTGACACAGTGAGGAACTTGGAATCAGACAACAAAACATGTCAAAAGGCTTGTGTTTGAAATCTAGCTTATGCTTCATACCTTAGTTGACTCATCCTCAAGTAGAACCAATCCTCTTCTCAGCTGCCAACAGAATCAGTCCCGTTCTCAATATTGTTGAACTCACCAACGGTATTGACTTCAAGAAGATTAGGACTGGGACAGATGACCATAAGCAACTAGTTATATGATTTGTCTTTTGTTGGTAAAAGTAGGTAGAAATAAGCACACCTTTTAAAAACTATGCATAGAAAAAATAAACCAAAATTAATCAATATTAATATCCTAATTGGTTTAAAAATGTGGCATGTAAAACCACAGAAGTCTCATATTAATTTTTACCTTATTATTTTCAAATAACATGTTGTGCCATATCCAATAAAAAGGATATCCAACAGAAAGGTCATTTGGAAACTGAAGAGTTCATGGGCTCACATCTTCCCCAGTATTTAATTTTCGTAACACTAGAACAAACAAAACAAGAACAATGACATTTTATAACAAACTTTCCTCTTTTTCAGAGGTGCAGTGTAAAAGCTCAGTGTAGTAACACATGGGTTGACAAGCTCAATGTGTCCCAGCTGTGGGCACTGGCACCCAGAACCCCCGTGCCCTGGGCTGATCCCACAGCGTGGGCAGCAGGGCAGGGGGGATTCTGCCCCTCTGCCCCCTCAGCTGAGACCCCCCTGCAGAGCTGCCCCAGCCCTGGGGAACAGCACAGGGAGGACGTGGAGCTGCTGGAGAGAGTCCAGAGGAGGCCACAGAGCTGCTGCCAGGGCTGGAGCCCCTCTGCTCTGGAGCCAGGCTGGGAGAGCTGGGGGGGTTCACCTGGAGAAGAGAAGGCTCCAGGGAGAACTGAGAGCCCCTTCCAGGGCCTAAAGGGGCTCCAGGAGAGCTGGAGAGGGACTGGGGACAAGGGATGGAGGGACAGGACAAGGGGGAATGGCTTCCCAGTGCCAGAGGGCAGCGTTAGACAGGATTGTGGGAAGGAATTAGCTGTGAGGGTGGGGAGGCCCTGGCACAGGTTGCCCAGAGAAGCTGTGGCTGCCCCATCCCTGGAAGTGTCCAAGGCCAGGTTGGACAGGGCTTGGAGAAACCTGGGCTAGTGGAAAGTGTCCCTGCCCACTAGGGGGTGGAACGAGATGATCTTTAGGTTTCCTTCCAACCCAAACCATTCTGTGATTCTATGATTATATTACAAATGTATTTCTGTGATAGGTCTTGGAATTTTCCATTTATGAGACAGAAAATGCTACAAAAACACATCACGCCATTTTCCTGAGCAAGGGATTCAAACTTTTTTGTAACATCAAAACAAATTAATTAATTTTTTAAAAATCCATTATCTGTCATAATGAAATATATTATCTGGAGGTTACCCTTACTTATATTTATCTACTCATTTTTCATCACAATATCTGGCCACTTAACTTCTGCAGTATTTATCTGCCTAATATTTCACAAGACAAAACCAAATTGCTTTAAAATCCCTAGGAAAATTTCCACAGGAGAAAAGGGGCACAGAAAAACTATGGGCCAATTCATAGCACTACTGCTATATCCAATTCCCAGTGATATTCCACCTTGAAGTTCTTGTACTCTTCCATAATTCTCCTCTTCCCTATACCAAACACTTAACTAAACTCAAGATGTATAGGGGATACTGCATTTCCCTAACTTCAACCCCTCTCAGACACAGAAGCATACTCTGATTAACAACCAATGCAGAAGTTATGCTATAGGATAACACTAGTCCTGTTATCAATTCTTGGGGAACACCATATCAAACCACTTACCATTTCTGACAGCAAACTCAGTCAGCCTTTAGTGGAATCATGCAGCCAACACTTCCTCTACAGCCTTCCCCAGGTTAAGGGTGAGATGTGAGCACAGAGCCAGGACCCTGCACAGCTGCTGCTGAGTGTGTGGGTCAGTGCAGAGACACGCGAGGGGCCGGGGATGGAGCCTGGTGTGTTCACCTGCTTGGTTCATCAGGAGGTAAGAGGAGGCACTGGCCTTCAGATGAAAGGGGTAAACAAGCCGGTACAGTGGAGGAATCTAATTTTTGTTTCAAATGAGGTTACAGAATCCCAGAATGGTTCAGGTTGGAAGGGCCCACAGTGGCTCATCTGGTCCCACCTCCCTGCTCCAGCAGGGCCATCCCACAGCACATGGCACAGGATTGTGTCCACACAGCTCTGCAAGATCTCCAGTCAGGAGACTCCACACCCTCTCTGCTCTCTCTCCAGGGCTGGGTCACTGCCCAGCAAAGAAGTTCTTCCTCCTGTCCAGCTGCAACTTCCCAGGCATCAGTTCCTGCCCGTTCCTCTTGGGCCATTGCTGGGCCCCCCGAGCAGAGCCTGCTCCACCCTCTGCTCCCTCCCTTTGGATACTAGCCCATTCAAACAGAAAGGTAGCATGATTTCCTGGCTTGGAAGCCCTGGCACCTATTCCTGACCACAGAATCACAGAACATACTGAGTTGGAAAGGACCCACAAGGATCATTGAAGTCCAACTCCTGGCCCTGCACAGAACACCCCAACAATCCCACCCTGTGCCTGACAGTGCTGTCCAGACACTCCTTGAGCTCTGCTCCATTTCATACTGTGCCCTGGGCAGTGAGGGTGTACCTCAAACTGCCAGTCAGATAAGTCCACTCAGCTTTGTATGTCTCAGTTTCCATGTCTGTAGAAAATGCACAGTGATTCTGACTTTAAGCTGTCAGATCTATTGATGACAGACAATGATGTAAGAGGTGTCATCAGTACCAGCTATGTACCACTGGGATGCAGTAGGATTTCAGTCTGGGGAATAGAGAACCTGAAGCAAAGATGCCTTAAAATCAGCATTGATTATTGATTTTACATATTCATGGACTAAGGAATGTATACAACACATAAACCAAGGTTCTTTTTCAGGAAGTTATAAACTTAAGAATGCAGTTTAAAGCATCTAACTGTTTAGTATTATTTACTCAGGAAAAAGCAAATAACAGTGCAATTACCAAAGCAATTCTTCAATTTAAATTTACAGACAAATATTGATTTATTTTATACAATCTCTATGAATAGCTACAGAAGTTCAGATTGCCTTAAAGAAATAGCCCATTCTAACAAGTCCATAATTCACAGTTTATCCCTACTATGGGGAGTTCTGGAGATGTTTATAGTTGCACTAAATCCTTAACAAGTATATACCATACAAAGCAATAAAAAGGAATTTGAACTACCCAGATTTGACATCAATATGAAAATAATAAAAAGGCTATTTTGCAAAAGAGTAAAATCTTTGTCCTTCAGAAGTCAGTTACAAGACATTTAAAGAAAAATAAGAAGCCACAGTGACTGATTGAAGAGAAAATTAAAACTGTGTAAGAAAGCCTCTTCATCCAACATTCAGGGTACTTTCACGTACATCTGTTCTTTCAGTTCATGGTTGTATTTGGATGCTGAAAGATGGAGCAATAACATAAAAGCTAGAAAGTACTCGTGAGTGAACAGAGGCAATCATAGCAATTCCCATCTCTGTTTCTGCCTTGCTAATATCAGGCAAGATGAAAGACACATAAAATGTAGTATTTTAAGAAACATTCACAAAACTTCATAAGTATCTGAGAAAATTTCTAAAGATCTAGAGAGGAATCTCATAACACAAAAAGCAGTTTTCCGGTATGTAAGGAAGAGAAGCCAAGGAATGAAAGAGGAGAAAAATTTACAGCCTTCGGAGAAATCATGGCAAGACAGCACTGAAATCCAAGTACCAGTGTCCCTGTCTCCTTCTTGCTCAAGTGGTTTAGTGGTTTAAAAGATGAACTAAATGAAACAGAGGAACCAACCATGAAGTTTCAGATGAGTCACAGAACACAAGAGCTTCATCAATAGCTACACCAATGCCAAATTTGCCAAAACATCTATGTGAGATGAGCACTGAAGTACAAAAAAAGTGGGAATAAAAATGGTAGCATATTTCCAATTTTGGTAACAGTAACAGTATCAAAATACATACAACATACAAACCCAAATGTATGTACACAAACATACAAACCCAAAAGAGCAACAGTAACTCTGCTCCATGTTGAAAAGTTACGAGAAATTGAAAAATCTAAAAGGAACAGCATTAAGAATTCAAATATTTGCTTTTAGTTTGCCTTTAGTAAGAAGAAAAGAATAAACCCCAAGCTTCCAAAAGCTGCACCAAATCAGCTGCCCAGCTTACTCTGAGACTGTGTCACGGTGACGCGGTCCCTTCAGCACACCAAACACCTCTGCCCTCAGTATAGGCACTTAAAAGTATTATTTTAAGAGGCTGTGTATTTTAACCTAACATCTAGAAGGGGAAGACGTAAAATGATCGTATACTCCAATTCATAATTCTCTGGGAAAAAGGTTACCATATAATCCACAGAAAAATCAAAAATCCTTGCACATTCCAAGTCATTAGTGTATTCAGCCAGGTAAAGAATCAAGGCAAAGATATCCACTTCCAGCCTCCTATATCCAATTAACAACTTTTTTGCCCCTCAAAACCCTTCTACTGTCCTTAATTTCCTGTCTAATCCCCAGTTTACAATTCAGAGACTCACCTCTTCAGACACAAGGACTGTATGACACTGCTGGGACACAGTTTGCAGCTCTGCTGGTGCCCAGCACAGGACAGTCCCTTGGCAGCAGTGGATGGGAACTGATGTGGGTGAAGCACAGCAGTGGAATGCTCAGCCTCAAAGAAAGAACTGAAAAACTGATGCAGTGCAATTTAAAAATGAAAAATTTAGGATCAGGGATGCAGGGGAGAAAAGCAAAAGCAAAGCCCAGTCAGCACAGCAAAGGGAGCACTGGAGAGTGGGGATACACTGTGTGCAAAGAGGGGGAATCCCTCTGGTCACATGGACGGTGGGTACCTTCTCCATTTATCATTGCATGCCAAGGTCTCAAATGTGGCTTACAGGCCATTTTTAAGTGCCTAAAGAATTCATCCATCCTCTTTCCAGGAGGCCCTGAAGCCCTCCTCTGAGAGGTGACAACAGGCCACAGTACAGCCAAGGAATTCTGGGAACACTGCACTCCCTGCACATGCACAGGCTGCTGCGCCTCCGATGCACAGATCTGGGACTGAGCCAAAGAAGCAGTTGCAAAAGGTAAGTTGCTACCAGCCAGAAAAGATGACAACTGCCATAAAGAACCATGTTTGGTGAAGTGGTTGTTTTTGTTTTTTGTGTGATGAAAGATGGAAAAAAATCACACATTTCAAACAAAAAATTTCAAAGCTTTCACAGCTGCTTCATAGCTGCTGGGCTAGCCAATTCCCATTGGAAGAAAATTCCAATTCCCAGTGCGAGAAAAATGGGCCCCCAAATCCCCTGAAAAGACTTTGAAAATCTCTTCCTTATGTGGTGCAAATAGATGAGCCTTGTTTTTGTAACACAGCTAGGAGCACTTTAGATGACAAGCAGATTAGAAAATTCAGCTTGAGGGTAGCTATTCTTTGAGTTGGCCTTTCCCCTCCCACCACATCTCCCATAAGGTGGTGGCCAGAGCACGCAAACACCACATGCTAAAAGAACCATCCTGCAAAATTTCTGGTAAGACTGTGATGGAAATACAGGCATATTGGATATTCTGGCTACATAAAACTATGTCTCCTCAAAAACAGTTTAACAGGAATTCCGTAAAAGGCACATCTATTAATTCCCAGTGGAAAGGTATATAAATGGTCTAGGATCTGATGTGACAGTAGTACTTGGAACTACAGTCTGAAGGTCAAAAATACACCTATTATACTGACAAGTCTCAAAATATTTCTGTATGTTGAAGAATATCTATTCCACACAGTCTTTAATTCATTAACTGAACAGTGGCTACTGCAGCTACTGGTAGCAATGACACAAGTATTTCAAATTGTTTTCTGTTAATTAAAGAATTCACTGAGTTTGACCAATAATCCTCCACTGCAAAGCTGCCACTAATGAATTTCAAAGAACAGATTAAAACTACATGACAAAATGCCTAAACATTACTGAGCTCACACTAGACTTTAAGAAATTAGAAACTCCTTGTGTCAACCAGTAAGTAATCACAAGTGATACCCTTTGAATTTTTAGGATTTTTAGCTTTTTGTAGATTTTAGAAGTAGCTGTGTAGTAAATGTAGATTTTTAGCATAATTATATAGTCTCTCACACTTTAGAATAGTAGTTGAACACTCACTAAACCCTATTTCCCCATTTCATATAGAATTTTCCAAATTCTTTAGAATTGTTTAGACCCCTTTCAAGGCAGGCCTTCATTCTGTTTAAGAACATTTGCACTCCAGGCCTGAACAACAAGATACTATCATAGTCAAAGCAACCTTCAAGCCTGGAACCTTGGAGAAGCTCCAAACACACTATGTGCTGTGAAGAAGAGGAAGATGAGGAAGAAAGGGGTCCTAGAATCTCCGACTCAATCTCCAGGGAGGCGTGCCTGGGGGCAGATCCGGGGGCGGGCAGTTCTCGGATCGGACATAAATTGTGGAACCCCTGGACACAGGGTGTGCGTGCCCTTTCGTACTCCAGTGGCCTGGAGGCCTTCAGTAAAGACCTGCTCTATATCTTATCTCTATACTAAATTTGCTTGGAGTTTTTTTGCTCCCAATTCTTAAGGCAACACAAGAAGAGGTTAAATCAGTAGTAGCAAAACAAAAAATAATTAATATGTCCTGGAAGACTACGACTTGTTTCACTACCATGAACTCATTTGCTATGTTTACTCCTCACACCGGGTACAAAATGCTTCCTGCATGTATCCTGCACTGGAGCCTTTAATAGCAAAGTGGAAGGAAATAACCTGACAATGTCTTTTGATCATCCCACAGTGCTAATGGCAGGCTACCATAAGGTACTTTCTCCAACACTTTGGGATTTGAAAGACTGGATGCCATTAGTCAGGCAAGAATACTCTGTCAAGTGTAACTCCTCTATCTCACATAACCCTTGGCATTAACAAAGCAGGAACTAGACGGTCTCAAATGCTGTGAAGTTACTACATGGGAATAACGCCACTCAACAAAGTGCACACTAAGAATTCCCTAGGGCTTCCTTTTAACCTATTGTTAAGGAATAACATCTTATAAATTTCACCTACTCAAAGAAAAACTGGATCTGTAAGGTAAGACAGAACAGTAGACTAGTGGCTTTCTCAAATCCCCATGGTTACAGTGACTCCATGCACAGGAGAAGCAGGTGAACGGGCTCACAGTCAGGGATCCTGCTTGCTGCTGGTACAAATGTGCTCAGAATGTTCTCAGTAACAAAGCACCAGGAATGCTACCATACTGGATTGCCCCATCAGACTGTCAGGTTTGGATTACATATCAATATGTTATGATTTCACACCCGGATTTTCCACCTGGCATGCTACCACTGGGAAGAAGCTCATTTATTTTAATTGACACAAACACGACTGTGTTTCTCCAGCAGATTCACAGCCACCTCTTTCAGCCACTGACTGGTGTCCATTTCAAGCTGTAACATCCATTCTGTCAAATCAAATGATCTTCAATCTAGTCATGAACGAATCATGGTTTTAGGAAAATACAGTAAGCCAGGAGGAAAGAGAAAATAAAACTACAGCACTGATTTTTGCTTTTTACGTACCTTGTTTTCTTTTAAAATCTTCCATGTAACACTCAAACCTATTAACACTAAATTTTATAACACTAAAAACCTATATTTTTTGTTAATTCACAGTAATTTGCAAACACAGCCTTCTCCAATCTAAACACGCGTAGGACTGCTCATACAACTTGTTAGAGGATATGTTATTTCTTCAATTGGCAAACATAACAGAGATTTCCTCTCAATGGCAGCAACAAGTAGAAAGAGAAGCAAACTGATGCATCTGTTATCCCTGATGTTTCTGTTATCCAAAGTACAGCCCTCTTCCTCCTTTTTCCACAGTTGTTCAAGTTTCACTGCAGCCTTGCCCCCTCACACCACGGCATGAGCTACTTCCAGAAACCATCAATATTTTTCCATCCATTGCCCTCCATTTACCTGTCTTCAAAGCATACTCCAGATAAATGTCAAGGTTGTATGGGTGCTCTTGTTATTCTAAGGCAAGACATAACACTCAGCTTCTGGTTTTGAGGAAGCAAAGCTTTTATGCCTTGTTTTCCACAGAAAAGTTAAGTCATATTAGAAAATTACCTTGTTTTAATTGCTACTATTTCTCAAGGTTGGCAGCCACAGTAGCAAAGACAAGTCATGTTCAATACCATCTAAACAGGTCATGGCCAACCTGGTGACACCAGCAGAGAGCTTCCTCCAGTAAGGCAAATGTCTACTAAAGTATTTAAAGGTCCTGTAAGTCAGATTTAGAGGACAGGAAATAAATGACAGGATGCAGTATCTTCCTCACTGTAGAATGAAGAGGTAAGATACTTGTTTCTCTTTCTCCAGGCACACACAGACCTCATCATCTCCTGGGGACTCCAAGATTTTTTTAATGTATATCCACAGTTTTTTAGAGGGATCATTTTGTTTTGCTTGAAAAGCAAAACTGAGTTTAGACAAAACTCTTTTTGTGCTAGGAGAAAGTAGCAAATCTCGTGAAGGCCATACATAATAAAAGACAAAATCCTGGTAATGCTGCTGGTAGCCAAGGAAGGCAGCTGCAGCAGAGGCACAAGAAAAAGGTAGGTTCTCCAGTGTAATTTTCTAGGAATATTTTTAAGAGAGAGTATTGAAACACTTATCTGCCACAATAACATACCATCTTATTCTGCCAAATACCGGAGATGTGAAGGCAGATGATGCTAACCCCTCTTGTCTCCTTCAATATGAGGCCTCCTTTGTGAATCTGTATTTTTAAGACAACAAATTTTGCCAGATCTTGAATAAAAAAAATCCAAAGAAGCCTCCTCAAAACAAAGAAAGATTAGTTTAACTTGGTCAGTTCCCCACTTCTAATTGCCATGAAGCTTTACAGGCAATTCCATGGACACCTGAGGGTGCAGGAATGGGAGGTGGGAGGTATGGGGACTGCTCTCATCAGACAGTATGTCTGTGACATCTCAGCTCCACTGTCCCATATGCCATTTTGAGAAGGGACACAGGCACTGTGGGGGAAATATTGAGCTGCAACTGTTCATTTAGAGGCCTGCAGGACCTTCAGAAAATAAGATACGAGTCCTTCTGAAAATAGTTATCCCTTACTTCAAATAGTTCAAATTCACAGAAAATATTTTTCTAGCAAAGAGCAAACTTAACAACAAAATAAAATGTGGATTTTATGTAAAAGTTAAAGACAAAAGAAAATACGTACAGAATAGAACCCAAGCACAAACTTACATTTTTGTCATAAATGCTTCCATAAATGGTTGTCACCTATTATTCCCAAGGCTTCTGACATTTGGGCATAGACCTGGAAACAAACATTTCAACAATAACATATTATAGATATTTACTAGTACCAACATTTTCGGTTGCAGGAGAAAAGTACAGGCAGAAGCGCCTGTCCATCCAACCCAGCTGGAGCACTGTAAGAGAGGGCTCATCCACTCCCTGACGGTGTCCCGTGATCTGGGGACTGAGGCTTTTACTTGCCCTTGCATACATTTCTTCCCAGAAAGGAGATGTGAATTTTCACATTAACCTCATCTTGTTGTTCACAGAACAATAGTCTCCATTCAAAAAACCTGGTTTATGATAAAAAAATTGCAAAGGGATGGAATAAACATCCTTATGTTGGTCTGTACTCAGTGGGATGCGATTCAACACTGTTCTTGAGCTTCCAAGTTCTTGCACCGCCTGTCATAAAATCTGGTAAATTCGGTACTCTTCAGACATTGTAAATTTGGTACTCTGAATTCAGACATTTGTTCTCCATTCTTGAATGGAGAACAAAAGCTTTGGGAGCCAAATAACTTGCAGTTGTGTACTTCTTCCCGTCATTTCAGATTCAAGACATCTATTTCCAGCAGGGTTCTCCCAGCACCCTGCCTGCCAGACCCAGCTGTGGTCAGGATGCAGTTACAAATGCACTGTGCAATCTTCATAAAATTTCCTGGTAGTTTTAGTAGCCTCGCATTTAGTTTGGATAAAAACATTTCACTGGGTTAAATCTACTCCAGAAACAGAAAGGCGACATATAGAATACTGCTTACAAACCCTGCCAGCTCAGCACACCCTGTGCTCAGACCCTGTCATGTGCTCAGGCTGAGCACTCAGGGGGTGTCATTTCAGCCATTCTAACCTTTAGTGACACTAACCCCAATATTACGAGCTACATGTAATTCTCCCCTATGACGTGATCGAGTCCAGCAGCAGCGAGGTGCCAGTGAGAGCCCCCAGCACAGCTCGGGCGCAGCTCCCAGCGGTGAAAGCCTGGTGCCATCTACTGCCAGCTCCCGGCCCTGACATCCCACAGCCCCACCAACTCCGCTGCACTCGCCACTCCTGCCACCGCACCCACACCTGCTCCTACCAGGCTCCTTTCTGGTAGTGATGTAACTCTGTCACTCGGCTTAGACACCAATTCCACCAGTGTTCTGCCTCTGAGGAAGTTAATAATAATATTAACAACAATAACAGTAACAACAAAAAATATCGTATTTTCATGTTCCAAAGACTTTAAATTCCAGCATACTAAAGGCACAAGTAAACAAACTTACAGCTCTAACCAGAAACTCCACCAAGATGAAAGATAACTTAATTTGTAAGCTAATTTATCCTTTTATAATTGTATGAATGTAATTTATGGTGACAAAATCAGCAGTGAAAGGACAATCACAATATAAAAGAAATAATATATAATACAATCCTTTAAACTTTGCAAATTACTGCATTCAAACTATAAATGTGAAGTTATTGTTTACAGTAATTAAACAGAGCAACAATAATATATTAAAATATATTAGAAAAATCTTCCAATGTAAAAAAACCCCACTCCCTAAATAGTGCACTGCTGAAATGCTACACCAGCTGCAATTTTAGCAGTGTTTAAGAATTTCTGTGTTTGATATAATGACAAGAGGAAAAGTGACAGCAAGGATTGCAAAGCCATCAGCAGCCACCCCTGTCTGTTCCAAGCCCCCTTTCCTGCCGGTGCGAGAAGGGAGCGGGAGCCAGCCCGTCTCTCAGCATTGTGCTCTGCTGCCAAACCAGGCTCTCCCCACATCAGAGTTTAACAAATAAAATACTAAAACAGCAGTCAGTGTTGACAAAGAGCAGTGCTTTAATCCACAATTATCCTTGTAACTCTTACTACTCCTTTTATCATCCATTAGCTTTGATTCCCATTATCCCATCAAGAACTGTGTCAACGCTTTTGTCCCTGGGGATTTCCCACACTACTAGGATCTGACAGCCAAGCCTGAGTGCTAAGCAGGATCATTACCTCTTAAATCCACTTATCTGATCCACTGAATAGTAAATTGAAAAGCTCATTAACAGCAACAATCTGATTTGTTTTCACGTGTGACAGGGTCATTCTAAGTCAGCATGAATACAGCACTAGCAATAAAAACTACACCGTTCTGTAGTGTGACAAATTTTAAGCTGAAATAAATGTGATCCTTTAAACACCTTCTTCAAAATAATTTTCAAACCCACACACGCTCTTAGCATGTAAAAATAGAAAAGTAAACACCCCCCAACCACAGCAATGCAATGCCCCTGGACTTTTAAGTGCTATGAAAAATTAATGATAAAGCATTTTGGACATATAATAATAAAACACACTTCAACAACAAAGGCCTTGCTACATACTCAAAAGGCGGAGAAAAACCCTGATGAAAGGAGTCAGAAAAGGCTGTGGAATCACACGTGGAAGTGATCTCATCGTCAGCTTAGGTCCCACATGGAGCCACAGAGGTAAGGGCAGCAGAGGGCTGTGGCACTCAGCCACAGGTCACTGGGGCTCCACCCTTCACACTCCTCCTTCCTTCTTCCAGCAAGGAAAAGCCCAAGGCTTATGTTCTTACTGCCCTCCAGACACTTCCAGTAAGGAGCAGGGAACTGATTTCCAGTAGGAGACAACTGGTTCAAGACTCCTGGAAAACTATGACACAATTAGTCCCGAATCCTTACAACTGCAAGTTTTACAACTTCCAAAAAAATTCCTGTATCAATACAGTGCTATGTGACCAAGCCACGGTATGGCCAAAAATGTCAGCTAACATCATCAGCCCACCATCCCCACCTCCTCCTCACACAGCTATGAACATCAGGGAAACATCCACAGAAGAGGCAATCTTAGGCTACGATGTTCCAGGAGCTTCACAGGCACAGGTACATATTCGGGGTCCCCCAAGCAAGCTGGAGCTGGTCCCACCACTGCACTCCAGGCCCAGGTGGCACTGCTGTGTTCAGAGGTGACAGTGATGGTCATGGCAGTGAAGGGGAAGAACAGACCAGCAAAATACCTTCAATAATAATCAGTAACAATGTCAAGTATACTGAACCAAGTTTGAAAGCAAAGGATCCAGTGATCCTTGTTTTTTCTCTTTGTACTGTTATAACCACCTCAGTGGAGTCAGGATGCTGAAGGAAGACAGCAGGTTCACAAGCGCTGGTGCCAGAGAACTTTTTATGATCTAGCAAGTTTCTTAGAATCACAAAAAGGTTTGGTTTGGAAGGGACCTTAAAGCTCATCTTGTTCCACCCCCTGCCATGGGCAGGGACACCTTCCACTATCTCAGGTTGCTCCAAGCCCCGTCCAACCTGGCCTTGGACACTTCCAGGGATAGGGCAGCCACAGTCTCCCTGGGCAACCACTTATCACTTGTTCAAGTTAGATAACCATGTACTTTCCAACTCCTTGAACTGTTCCTGCTGCTTTCCAAAAGGATAAGGAAATAAAATTGTGGAAACAATGTTCTATAAAGCAAAGTACTTGCACGTAAATACAGACCAAGAGAACAGAAATAATTCAGTAACCACACCAGAACTTTATTTCCCTGTCTTCCCTACTCTTTGGCCTTAGATATGCTTAACTTTGCTTTGCCTTTTCAGGTCTTCTCTTTTTGGAACTATCATTATAACTCTGAAGAAGCTAATTATGTCAATTCTTAAATGTGAAGCAGATTACAGAACTGGGAAGCTCAGAATATGAGTTCCTAAAGGTTGTATGGCTCTGTAATGACAGTCACAGAAATTCAATAACAACACTGTATGGAATGTACTCAAACGCACCCCATGAAACAAATTAAAACAGAGCAATGAATCTCTCATACTGTGCAAATAAGAATACACAAGAAAATGTTGATTTCTGTATGTTTCATAAGGGCTATTATAATGAATAAAGATTTTGGATAATGAATCTTCAGAAAATTACAGTACAGTTATTACCCGTAGGCACAGTGTAAATGCTAAAGTTATTATAACTTCCTTGAAGCTCTTCAGGCCTCGCTGCAGAGAACTATCCCTGAAACATTAAAGTATTTTGTCATCAACACTGAGGGCAAAATCAGACCTTCACCACATTTACCCCAGCCTGACAGAGCTGAAGCACATGTAGCATGTCGAGGGGAAGCCCCTCCACCCCACGGTCTTTTTGGGAATCCAGGCAGTGCAGGGGCGACTGCCACAGGGTTCTGCCATCGCACCTCTCTGACTAACACCCCTGGGCAGCACCCACTGAACCTCCATGCTAGTTATAAGTGTTGTTCTCAGTGTCAAGTGCCACAACACATTTTGTAATTTCCCCCGCTTTTTAAATCACATTCAGGTATTTTGAATTTTCAGCACTTAAAAGCTCCATTACAACACAGCTTCCACAGACGGTTTCAGAAAATGGAACTGAATTCCCTAATCAGACTATCAAGGCCAGATCATTCATCTTCTGATCCAATTGAGGGCTTCAAAAGCCTTGGCTTTTCTCTCCTCTCCTTAGCAGAGGAAAACCTTGGTCACTTCCACTCCCGACCAGCTTCTCTTAAAAAGATGAGATCCCAAAATACCCTTAACTTAGAGCCTAAGCCAAGAGAATGAGGTAATGTGTTGTTTTAGAGTAAACTCCCTAACTGAAAAAAACTCTCCAAAACAGGCCATAAGGAAACATCTCAGTTGATTCAGACAGGATCTCTGAAGATTAAGGTGGGCTTTGAGCTACTTTGTATGTAGGCTACTCTCCCATCCACATAGGTGTGTCTGTAAGCAACCAGAGGACCCACACCAATTACACAAATGATACACTATTTATTGTCTTACCTATAAACCTAGTTTAAGTAAAATATTGCATAAAGGCATCCTCAATTGAAAGAGACCTACTATAAAGTAACATTTAAAAATTAGGGTATTATTATTACAACTAAGTGTTCCGTTGTATGGGAAAGGGTAGATCTGCTGTGTGGCTCAGTCATTGTTATGGATGTTATTTCCCTCCTAGTCTGTTGAAATACTCTGTCATCACAAGCTCAGACA